ATGTTAAAATCATGAATTGAAGCTGTAGGAGACCATAACTTGAACTTGAAGAACATCCGATCATGGGGATTACCAATTAATCACATCACTTATCACCGTCAGACATGCGCATGGTGGGAGGACTTCATAGAGAGATTTATATTCCTCCTACTTCCTCTGAAAAACTCCACCCTAGTCACAATCCCTTTTTCCAGTTGGGTGAAAGCTCGACTTTAAATCTTCTTTTTTGCTATATATATATATATATATACTCTTTGCTTTTCGTACCTTTAAAACATTCCATAATTTACAGATTACGGAGAATTAATATGTTGGCATGTTTTCCATTTATAAAGGAAACTACACATTTGCATCCCTCTTTATATGTTAACATTTGTATTCAACTTGTTGAATTAATTTTGACTGGGTGGGGCGCAATAATAGTTTTGTAACTAAAGGGATGCTTAATTGTTTAGGTTTATAGCTTGCAAGTTAGCATGAAATCATTACTTTAACTTTCATGCTTGCACACCAGACAATGTGTTTACCATGAACATCCAGGTGTTTATGATCTATATCCCTGACTTGTTTTGCAACAAACGGGTCAAATATTTGTGGACCCCACTGATGTGATGGGCGTCGATCAAAAGCCCAAAGCGTACCCCTGGTCCATAGAGGTAGACTGCTGGGGTGTGACCCATATTCAACTCTGGATCAACATAATGGGAGGAAATCAGATAACCGGAACAGAGTTTTGTTGACTCCTTCCTGTTCAGACCAGCTACCGCTGATTGCCTGTGTAGCTTTGCTTCAGTTTCACTGGAGGAATCAATCACTTTTCAGCTCCTATTAAAACCATAACTGATAAAGAAACTTTTCTTCACTACAAGTAATCATCTCTAGACTCTATACTGGAGGGACAGACAATTAAGCGATTGTGTTTGAGTGATTAATATTGTTATAAAAACAATCTACACATACTGCGCAGCATCGATGCCAAAAACAATAGCAATGCAAAACATTGGACTAACAGCTGTGCAGGGAGTGTGATTGTAACATTTCCAGGTTGGATTAAGGTGCATACATTGGACCTTGTTGTATTATATAGTGTTGTGTAGCACTGAACTGAGAACAGTACAGGTTTGTTGTGCATCCAGTCGTGTGATAGAGGAATCTTTGTTGCTTTTTTTATAGCCACCTGTAGAATTCCTGGAGATGATAAAAATTCTATACTTGGAAAGCTCGATCTGAAACCTATTCATTGTTAATGTCTCTTTTCACAAGCAACGTATGACATTTAGTTTTCATTGGAATGAATGGAGAGATTTCACGCTAAAACAGGTCTTTGAATCGCATAGCGATTGAGTTTTCTTCAGCAGTTAAGTGGTGGTTTTGTGTATTATAGGTATCAAGGTACTCTTGTGGATGTGCAAAGCTGCGCTGGAGGAATACCATACATTCCATGATATACGGTATGGTAGGTGTGGCCATGGTGTGGTTATCTACACTATGGTGATCCTCAGAACTGATCAAGGTGACAGGAAGTAGCATTGAACTTGAGCCCAGCCTCAGGCCAGTCAACAACTATCTTGGAAAGCACGTAACGCAAGCAGATCTACAACTCGCTTTTGTCTACTTTCTTGAGGGGAAAATCCCATGTGCATGTCATAACAGTGTATTTTAACTGACACCACTATTCAGTGTCTTTTCATTGGAGTATAGGATTTCATGGTTGTTCGTGTCCCACCACAAATCCGATATCCTCGTTTGAGACGAGTAGAATAATGCAGGTAGGAGGACGTGGTGGTTCGTGAGGTCATAGAAGCGGGGTTGGCAATTATAGCTCACAATCAGTGGCGCTTCCTCATTTTTCAGAGCTGTTTATCTCGTTGTTAGACTTTGAACTTCAATCGTTAACAATTTACTTCTCAACTAGCTAGCACACATTCTTTGAAGTTTTATGACCCCATAGGTCAATTAAAATACTGCTTTATTGTGTCACGCTTCTGTTGTTACATGGGAAGTGTTACACAAGAGAAGAGTACATATAGCATATGATACGTGCCAGACGCTCTGTCGTTGCTTGCAAGAAGGTCCTGTGACATTTCTGGACTAGGGGACTATATAATTACCAGGAAGCCATCAGGGTTGTCTGCTTTAGTAAAGGATCTGAGCATTGTTGCCAGAGCTACTCCTTCTGCCTGTATATAACGTGTAAAGATTTGACGTCGAAGGCACATAGACTGCTGTCTAGAAGAACCTGTCACTTTTCACAACTAAGAAAACTTTCCTCATGAAGGAGTAAGACTGGCAACCGCTTTTGTAATTGAGGATCATTAATTGAAAGAGTTTAAGAGTGAACAGGATCCATTGCTCTCTTTATTAAGAGTGAATGTCATACTTGATTGTTTGAAAAAGAAGAAGAAGAAGAACCAGAGATGAAGAAGAAAGGAAAGACATCGTTAGCTGTGCCAGAGGGAAGCTCACCAGAATCTTCTCCACGCTCCTCTCCTCGATCCTCGCCCGTCTTGTCAAGAAAGTCCTACGTTCGGTTCCGCTTTCACCATTACTTTGGGGGTGATGCACCGAGCGACACGTCGGGGTAAGGAAGAAAATAAAGAAACAAGAGTATTTTTATTCTTCATCTTCATCTATTCCCCCCCCCCCCCCTATACATGTTGAGTTCTGCATTGCACGCTAGATAAATGCTTATGTTTTATATGATTGTCCTCTCTTTTCACTTCTATTCTAAAGACAGTCCTTTATGATGATGCTACATTGTACCAATTTACTACAGTGTGGGTATGTTGAAAGGAATATTATGTAAATTGGACACACTGTAACACAAGTTGGGCAACTAGTAAAACAAAGAAGTTGGTCAATTATAGTAAAGTATTTGCTAGCGATAGGAAGGTGAAAGGACGGAATTCGGTTATAATTATATATAGCAAATAATGTAGCAAATTATAAGATGGGGATCTGCATGCTCTTTTGAATACATGTTCATAACGATTTATACTTTGAGCTCTTGTGTTCTTCCAATATGTTAATAATTGACATACTTAATTTGTCCAATGTACATTTCAGTACAAATATTGATAAGTACAAATGATCCCATCGTTTCCTAATGTATGGACTTTACCATTGTGTAGCCATGTACAATTTACACAGGCAGAATACTGTTAGTATTAGCTTTGTGAGTGGGCAAAGAATTTATGGTCATGCATCATATCATTGATTACCCACAAAAATGTAGCATTTGATTAACAATTACTCAAGCAAATACTCCCAACCAAATATCTTTCTACTGTGTTGTAAATTAAAGTGATCCCTTTATATTATATGCTGAGACCTAGAATAGTTGCCAACTCAGTAAAAAAAAATATGAATCAATGCCCTTCTGACTCTCAGCAGATAGTAGGAATAGAGTCACTCAAATGATTCTAATTTAGTTTTGATGCTTCTCAAGAGTTTCTTTTGATAATATTTTTAGTTTAAATGTTTCTTCTTTGAGACAGCACCAAAACGTTCTATGGTATATGTTTTTTTTTTACACAATGGCTTTGGAATTTATATTTCAATTTATAGCAATTACACACATTACTGATGGATGTTGTTGGAATAGATCAGTGGTGAAGGCGGAAAGTTTACTTTCAATATTTAATTCATATTTCTTGAATCAAAGTCAACTAAAACAAAAAGTCTTACTCTAAAAAATAACAATAGCAACAACAACAACACCCCCTCCCCCCCCCCCCACCAAGAAAGAAGACAAAAAACACTTACCTGAGGTTTGCCTTAGAATTGCTTCAGCAAAAGTATGCAAGGTGGATTTCTATCTGTTAGCATATACAAGGCAAAGTCAACAGTTTGTCTCCATGGGTCTCGAGAAGAAATCATCTGCTGAGAGGGCATCATAACTCATTTACTTTTACAGATCTAACACCCTACTGTCTCTAAATCATCAAATATACATCGAATGTGACTACTTTCATTCATAGGAAACTATTCTGTTGCTACTGCTTTACATAGATCTGTCTAATCTTTTTACGTATCAGGTTCTGTATCATCAGAACTTTCGCCATTCTCTCGTCAGTAATGCCACTTCTAAGGAAATTATTGATCAGAAAGAATCATTAGCTTCCACCATGCACAGAACAAAATGGAAGAAAGGGAGGAGAAAAATAAGAAACCTCAAACAGTAGTTCTTCCGGTTTCCTAATAGATTTTTTTTTTTAAACATTGCTATTGAGGCACAATTTTCAACAGGAAAGGGAAAATGAAAGATGAGAATTAAAAAGACTTCCTGGTTTGTTTGACTGCATGAAACAGAGAGAGGCACTCAGTGCATGTGACGTTGATGTAAGGAAATGAGATGGAAGAGTCTAAGGTCAGCCCTCTATATATGAAAAATGATATTAAATGAGTGAAGGGAAGTCCTTAATAATAAGAAGAGGAGCAAGCTATGGTTTTACTTTCTGAAGAGATCAAATTTAATTGCCATTAAACATTTATTTTGAGACCCCATGCAATGAAAGTGAAAATTGACAGCTGTAATTATTGGGTGTGGAAAGTAAGTGGGAAGTGTTACTTTTGTTTTTTTAATTAAATATTTTAATTTTAAGTTATATATTAGAGAAATGGTGCTCTTGATTCCTAAAGGAAATCAAATTAAATTTTGTAAGCACATTGTTACATGTATTGTACTATACATAGATCTACACATTGAGGGCTTCAGCCCACTTCAGACTTCATGAAACTGACAGCCCTTTAGGCCAACATATTGGTCTTGTGGGCCTTCTGACAACTTTTCTATGGATTCATGTGGTTGACATTGTCTTGTTAGCTTTGGGTCAACTGGGATCCTTCTCCCCTCTGGAAATAAAAACTTAAGGTATTATTGTCTCTTGGTGCTGTACAGGAAATGAAACCCTCTTTGATGAAATTCAAGAATTCATTAAAAAAAATCCTGCCTCCATCATGATTCTTTATTGGCATACTGTAAACACAAGTTGATGACGGTGTTTCTATATTTATGTTTAAAGACATTCAAAGGCACTTTCTGTCTACTTACTAACTGGAGTACCTTTTATGGAAGAAAAAAATAATTATTTTTACCAGGATTGTAGCAAATATGAAATCGTGAGCTGACAAAATGATGACTGAGGCTGATATAATTGTTAGTGTCTTTAATATCATTGAATTGTGGACTGGAAAGAGGTAACTCAAAGATTTAGAAATCGGCAGCAAGCCAAATGAGGTTAAATCTAACCTTGTGATCTGGTCTCGTTCTTACACCTCCTACTATACAATCACATGTGTTGTTTCTCTCTTCACGTACAACCTAAAACCTCCCTACTCTTTCTAGAATGGACCAACCCTTCGTCACAAACCCTTCGTCACAACTTCAGAAGTTTTCCCCCTTTCCCTTCCCCCGCCTAACTCGAGCACAAATTGCTCCTTTCCTGTGACATCATTCCGTATTATAGTTCTCCTCACAACACCAAGGCTCTATCGTAGAACTTGGGAGTGCTGTCAGGCAGGCATCCCTCTCTTGCTTTCTCTCGCCCCCCTCTCTCCTCGCATCTACCTCTTATAGTGCTGTTGATTAGAGATCTCTTTCTCTTTCTCTCCCACTCTCTCATACTTGTTTTGGTATGACTTTGGACTTTTGGACATCCCTGTAGCGCAGCATAGGTGATCCAGGCCATGCTAGCTGTGGGCTTATAATGATGAGAGACTTAATCGTCCATTCATCCATGTTGAGGATTATTTAGTATGATATATTCTGGAACACCTTGATCCGTAGATGTTAGTAGTATGTGGCTTGCCAGTGAATTTTGGATTGATTTAGTCCTAAACTTTCATGAATTTGTGGACTTATGTCTTGGATTACCATTTGATAGGTGAGTCTAAAGTAATATCCATTGTCTCAACTTTAATATATGCAGTACTTATATGTGCTGGTTTATAACTTGTGTGTATTATATACACAGTATGCCACAGGACAGAGAAGGGTGACCTACCTCAGCTCTGTGAAGTTTATCAGTCTGAATAACGAAATATTTCTGTCTGCTTTTGCCATTAAACTTGGTATGCCAAGGCATCTACCTCTCATGGACAATATGCCTTCATATACATCAACCAAGTAGGCTCTGCACCGCATGAATGGAAGATTTGCTCGTTTATTTTGCAGAAGGGATTAATCAAGCTTTGTTCCTTAACAACTCCCCTTTAATAAAAAACATAGTTTACTAGGGTAAAAAACAAATGTTTCTCTTTACTAATGGAATGATGTTGGAGTTATGTTGTAACGAGTACATAATTAATCCCTTGTGATTTTTGAGAGCTAATTTGTGCCTAAGATCATTATGCCAGATACTCCCCCCCCCCCCCCCCCCCCCCCCCCCGAAAGGAGAAAAAGGAGATTTATATGTCATATTTTGTTAACATCACAAGAAGTGTAGATGATGAGCGAAGGTAAAGTTAACTGTACAGAGCCAAATGGGCATTACTTAACTCTGTTTTATAGGTACCACTCTTGTGCATAGTTGTTGCAGCCTCTAGTTGGCTCCAGACAGATGAAGTGTTAATAAGACTAAAAAATAAAGGTAGTAGTCATGATTGGTAAGGCTCCATCCTTCTTGTGTGTGATCATACCCTGTCTAACAAACGGGAGCATTGTGAGTGACTAGTGATGACTTATATCATGCAGAAGTTTCTTGAAGTGTAGAGATGTATGTCTCAAGTTCAGACAGGAAATGCTGTGAGGGCAATATCATTGCGTAATAGACCCAATTAAGCTTCCTGTCATACATGTGTGTGAGTTTAAGGTTAATTACTTAATTACCCGCTGAGCATGCCATGTGGACCCAATCAGGTGAATCTGAATGGAGGTATGTTTGACAAATTGAATCATCGAATATTCAGATGTATTTATTTTGTTTACAAAAATAACCATAATATCTAACAATATATTTAAGAAAATGTCAGTATTCAGATATTTTGTTTTTAATGTATCTTTATGAAGTAGAAAAGAATACAAAACATGGCATTATAAAAGTACCTGATCAATAGTTTAACCTTTTTTCTAGAAAAATTTATGTTTAAGAAAATAGTAGGGATGAATCTGAAGAATGAATAAAGTTTGTGACAGAAGGTTCTATGGAAAGTGGTAAATCATTAGAAACAGAATGGTGAGATGATTATCACTGTGACAAGTAGAACATTTCATCTGCTGATAACTAGAAGGTTCAGTATTTTTATCATTTCATAGGAGTAATGCCCTTCTTGTTCTCACTGTACAACGTGACTCTTTCTCACGTCAAGCATCATTCAAGTAAAGCTCATTCATGATGTAACTGTTGTTTGTAGTACGCTACATCGGTCTCTTGGTGTTTCTAAAAACGGTTCTCCGTCACAGCCTGCCTCGGAGTCACTCTTGACATCTCTCCTAATTGCGTCAGAGCTGTTATCATTCCTATTGATTTCAAAACCGTCCCAAGAGCTTGAAAATATTAAAATCATCACCCAAATACCAAGCTACGCTACTAGAGGTATTGATTACAATGAAAGCTAATTGCTTCTCGCCAGCTAGGTCCCTACGCCGCATGACTCTGCTAAAAGACAATGACGCTGTTGTTAAGTGTAATGACGTGATTAGCTCTTCAGCAGGCCGTATTTAAGAATAGTTAAACTGTACTCTTGCATTGTGATCTTTCAATATATTTTTCATTTATATAATTTCCCCCCTTTTTTAAATTGTTTTTTAATAGAATTGTGTTTAATGGTTTTTAATTAGGATCTGGAAATATAGTTTAGACCTTAATGTTTTTAGTACTGGGGAAGAAATTGATAGGAAACATAAAATCAGGATCAAATCAAATGATGATACTCGAGATGAAGGAATATTTCAGTATTTAGATAAATAATTGGTTTCCATACTATGAATGCACTTAATTGCACTGTCAATAATTAAGGCACATTAGTAACTGATCACAAACCTGTATCTTTAGGTGAACCTGGTCAAGGGGTTGTTTTGCTCCGAAGAAATACGTAGGGGGAGGGGGGCTATTCTACCATTCTCCTCTTTCCCCCACCAACTAATTCACATTCATATATCATTTACTTTTAGAAAGTAATCCTTTTCTTTTCTTTCCTTTCTCTTAATCACATGAACCTAACGGTAAGCAGTATATAAGGCACTCACTATTTTGAGGTGCTCATAATTTTCTAGAAATAACTCTGAAGTCACCGTGCCAAGACGTTACAATATAATCATGAAATTGCACCTGACACTGGCTTTATTGTCATCCTACACAATTGCGTCAGAGATACACCCTTGGGGAGCATGAGTAGTGTTCCGCTGATCATGACTTGGCTGCAGGGTGATCTTGAATTTTTTTGGGGGGGTAACTTTTTTCTTTGAGGTTTCTTGTAAGGAATGGCATTCTTCTATCCCTTCATGTCACTTCTAGATCAATATATGTAATACAATACCTTTAGATATCATGCATTTCTTCTCCTTTCATGGAAATCTTGTTATTTTTCCATTTTGATCATTCAGTGTTATTGCTGGCCTTCACAGCTACTCTACACAGACTTTGGAATATTAAAGGATGAGTGTTTTCATGTTCATGTCTATTGTCTAATCTCGTAACTATGACAGTTACATGTAGATGCCCCATCCCTTGCTTGTTGATGTGCAACAATAATAAAATAATGGGCTGTCATCTCATTTACCTTCTATTCTAATAGGCCTGTTTACTAATGATATGCGAGTGACGTCATAATCCCTCGCACCCTAGCGATTGTTACTACGTAGGGCAAGCTTTGCGTGGTGCGGCACGGTCGCCACATTGTTTTTCCATGCCCGCTACGCTATACACATACAAAGCCATTGCTAGCGACCGCGACGTTTTTTCACCCTAATTTCTACAATGGCATCGCCTTCGACATCGAGTTGTAGTTCCAGCAAGCCGTTTTCGCAGTGGACAGTGAAGGAGCTCACCGATTATTTAAGAAAGAGAGGAGTTACGACATCAGGGTACAACAAACAGAAACTAGTTCAACTTGCGACTGCTGTGGCCGATATCGCTTTGCCCCAAGACCCGGACCTTGCGAGCTTCGACTCCGCACGGTCGCTGCGGGAGAAGTTGGAGCGTGCGGGGTGCTCGTTCGACGACCCAATGAAAATCACCGGCTACACCGAGAACTTTGAAAGTATACCAGATTTCGGATTATACGACATTTTCAACTACCTGATAGTAAATAGAACTGACTACGACAGAAAGAAACTCAAAGCATATAATATGTCGATTCCAAAGTCCTTTCTTCCACAATTCTTAATCCATATTTTACACTTCTCCAGGTTCGTCTTTGGTTTGGGGAACGGGATGAAAAACACACCATTCATATGGGGTCTGTCTGCGTACCGTGAATCGCTGTTACACGTGCCGTAACAGCAATGCTTACCTCCCATTTTTGCGATATTTCGTCGGATTTCGGAAAATAAAATCGAAGATTTGTCATGTACAACTGAGAAAAACTATATTTATTTTAATTATATACCCTAAGGTTGGAAAACAAACAGTTTTAAACGAAGTTTATTAGGACGATGATCAGCCTTTTTTTCCTCGCATTCCCCACATCGCCGTATACAAAGTGTGTGTAGCAGGGCCGTAGCAGACACTGCGCTCGGTTTGTTTGCCAGAGCTTACAACTGTGTGCAAATTTAAAGGTCCGTGAATACATTAGTAAACAGGCCTATTGTGTACCAGCTCTTTGTTCTTCTTGTTGGTTTTCACTATTGAATACTAGAAATTAAGTTGTTTATACTTCACATTTTTGATAGTATATATTTTTCACCAACAGCAGTAGTACTATAGGCCTGCCTTCATCAGCTTGAGTTTGCCAAATAACCCGCTATTTTCAGACTCTGGATATTATCCCGAAGCTCGAATTTGTGTCCTCACCAGACCGATGCGCTAATCTCAAACTAGCTCGGACGGGCGCAAATTAGCCCGCTATTTCCTAAATAGCAGGATATTTTGGAATCAAGACCAAGATTTCTCAAGATATTAGAGAAAATGTCCCGCTAATTGCAATTGGGGGCTTACTAAAAACCCAAATTAACTGGCTAATTTGCGATCGGGATAGTTCAAATAGCAAATTATTTTGCAAACTCGAGCTGATGAAGACAGGCCTATTGATACATATTTTCTTCCATGGTCGGGCTTTGACTTGATCTGCCCTTGGCACTGACCAGGATAAACCAGGTCTATGGTTGGTGAACCTTATCTGAGGTCATTCCCTCTACATAGAGGGATGTCTTGTTTGATAAACATGAGCTGCATTTACACTGCAAAACAATAGGGCCTATATGATGTGAGTTAAAGCTTGATGGAACTTCATCATGCATCTGTCTTACCGCAAAGTATCATATTTAATTTCATAATGCTGTGTTATTGGCACACATTCTGTTGTTCTGAGAATTTGCAGAGGAAAAATGTCCAACATTTTGGATAGTGCAAGCATGTAATGTATATATCTTTAATTGGCTCTTATCTCAAGATATAGGCATGTTTTGGTGGTTACCCCATTGCAGAGATAAAGAGGAGATACAGTTTAATCTTCATGTCTGCATATGATATGCCACTGACTGAAATTAGACACCAGTGAAAGCAACCGTAGCTCCTGCAGAAGTTTATCTCCCGCCAACTCTTTCAGTTGCAAAAACAGAAATTTGGTTGATGATCAGTAGAATTGATGTTTCACTTCGAAGAGCTGTAGGCTTGAAAGATGTGCTGTCTAGAAGCTAGCGTCCAAATCTCTGAAGCAATCTGAAAACTTGTGCAGGGTAGCTTGTTTTGTGAGTGAGCTCCTCGTTTCCTAGAAATAGTTGGAC